AATACCTAGAATGATGATAAAGCAAGATCTGGGTGTAGCTGTGTAGTTGTCTTAGATAGCACCAGTCCAGATCACAGCCAGAGGATTTCAGGAAAACACAAGCAAACCAAACACACACACACACACACACACACACACACACACACACACACTGATAAAGTGATGTGTGTTGAGAGCTTGTTGTAGAGTGTGTAAAAATTATTATAAACACATAGAAAATTAAGCAGATTAACTATGGAGAGGTTACTGTCAACAAAGTAAATAAAATCATTGCAGACTTGGGTTAGCAGGAAACCATATAATAATGTAAATACTAATTCAACCAAAAATATTAATAACAATTCTAGGATTAGAAGAGTAGGAGTAGGAATGAAGGAAATGAGCTGAGATGATGGGGGTGCACAGATAAGCCAAACCCTCTCTCAGTGTATTAGTTTCTAAGGGTTGCTGTATCAAATTACCACAAACTGGGTGGCTTAAAACAACAATAATTTATTTTCTCACAATTCTGGAGGCTAGAAGTCTGAAATCAAGATTTTGACATGGTTGTTAATATAGCTAAACACTTCTCTGGTAACTTTTAGAAAAGAGGGAAAAAAGAGGCGTTTATGCTACAAACCTTGCAAATGGTCTGGTCTAAAATACATCTTCTGGCCATAGCATTTCTCCCTCTAGCAAGGATTCTTTCTTGCCTCTGTTGGCCCCAGGAATTCCTTGTCCTGTGGTTAGCAGAACTCCAATCTATGTCTCCATTTTCACATGTCCTTCTTCTCCGAGTGCTTCTATAAGGACACCAGTCATTGGATGTAGGATCACCTTAAATCCAGGGTGATTTCAATTCAAGATCATTAACTGATTACACCTTCAAAGACCCTACTTTCAAATGAAGTCTCATTCTGAAATCCAAGTGGACATGAAATTTGGGGGACACAATTCAATCCAGTGCCATAAGAGGAAGTCTACAAATAAAGCCAGAATTCTACATATCAAGAATAAGTATATTCTACATGGAAATAAATATTGCATTAAAACAATTAAAAGTGGTTGCCAATGTGGAGCAGGAATCAAGGGTGGGGAGCGATGAGATGAGGACTGCTGAGTTTTACTTAAAACTATTTAATATTATGTGTCTTTCATAACAAAGTGTGTATATTGCTCTCGTTCCCCCACAGCATAAGTCACAGGCTGTGGAAGATCTTTCTTGGCCCTGAACTGTGCCCTCTGTGGGAGGGAAGATGTGGGTAAAGTCAAGCTGTTCACTCAAGTGTGTCTAAACTCTTGTTTCTGCTCCAGCAGTGTACTGGAATTTCTCCTCTAGAAGTCTGGAACTCCACAAAGGCTCTCTCATCCGTGGGTAATTGCCTAGAAGGCTGTTTTCCAGGGTTCCCAGACCACAGCTATGAGGAAGGGCTAAGAGCTGAGGGGCTAGAGCTCAGGCCACTACGGAGTGAATCCACAACTAGAACTAAGCTTTGTGTGCTTGTTACCCAACGCATGAGTGGGTGAGACGTCTCCTGGGTCTCTTGGTACTGTGCTGGGTCCCACAGCTCATACAAAGGCACTTTTGTCTGTGGATAAATGACAAATTATTATTGTGGTGAGGGTGGGGGACAAAGGAGATGCCTTATTCCGGCAGGATGCTGATGTCATTCTTTTTTGAGCCATCTTTTCATTTTGTTTTCTGACTCTTCTACATTACTGCTTAGATTAAAAAAAAAAAAAAAAAAAAAAAAAAAAAAAGTAGCCCCTTGTAAAGAGAGCTCTGAGAAAAAAATATAAATATAGATTTTGACATGGATGTTAAATAGCTAAACATTTCTCTGGCAATTTTTAGAGAAGAGGAAAAAAGAGGCATCCATGCTAGAAACCTTGCAAATGAGAATGAAGTCAAGACGGAAACAACAGGGCTAAATGAGCAAGCAACTCTTTGTCAGTTGCCAACTTGCACAGCTGCTTAAAGAAAACTGTTCTCCCCTAAGGGAGAAAAGAGATTGCACAGAGAACACAATTTCTTAATCCGTGACTTGTTTTTCATATTGACTTTGCCTAGGTTCGTAATTTTCAGTAAGCCTGATCTCATGACTAATTTTGCACTAATAGAGATGAGATAGAGTAGAGAAAGAGGGGTGTTGATATTATGGTGTAAGCAATAATTTCTTAAGGCAATTCCCAGGAAGATTATTTCTCTTCCACACAATATTTGCGTCAGGGGCTAGCCTGAGCAAGACTTTGGAAGTAATCAGTTTACTTCTTAGTGTTTTCTACTTTTACTTTCGACACTCTTTTCCTACCATTTTTCTCCTTTCCCCCTGTCAGATAGCCGTTCCACTCAGTGCCTTGTGGCCATTAGGACTACACACACACTCCAACAGGGCCTTCTGTCCCACACAAAGTCTTCCGCACCTCAACTGCCCTGTGCATTTAACGCATATCATTGGGGCATAATGTAGCATGTCACCAAGAAGATCCTGAGGATACAGGAGGATGTGGAGGACAAGGGCTCATAGGCCAGTTATGGAGACCTACAGTGTCCTGTGTTCCAGTAGGATCTGCTAATCTATGTGAAATTTTATAAATGACACCTTACTAGTACTCTACATCTGAGGAGTACCTGCATTTTAAGAGGATCTCCAGAAATGAAAAACTCATCCTAAAAGGATGATTCCTCTGATGGTGGAAATTTTGGTAGGCGACAGGCTCATGAGGGAGAAATGCTAGGGCCAGAAGATATATTTCAGACCAGGCGTCCCCAAACTTTTTAAAGTGGGGGGCCAGATCACGGTCCCTCAGAGAGCTGGAGGGCCGGACTAAATGAACTACTAATTCCTACTGTAACACCTCGGCTGCGCTCACTGCCCAAAAAACCTGGCGGGCCGGATCAGACTCCTCTGCGGGCCGCATGTGGCCCGCAGGCCGTAGTTTGAAGACGCCTGTTTCAGACCATACTATGAAGAGAATTGTTTACACCAAGTCAAGCAGTGTCCACAAAACATGTAAAATTCTTGATAAAAATGTACTAACTAGCTAAGTAGAAGGGTAAGTAGGTAAACAGAAATGGATAATGAATAAATATACAACTGGCCTGGGAAGTTTGCTGATGATGACTTAAATGACATCTCGTCACATTTTTGTTGTTGTTGTTGTTAATCCTCACTCAAGGATATTTTCCCATTGATTTTCAGAGAAAGTGGAAGGGATGGGGAGAGACTGCAACGAAGGTACATGCCCTTAATAGGAATTGAACCCAGGATCCTCCAGTCCATGAGCCAACATTCTAGCCACTGAGCCAAACCAACCAGGGCTCGTCACATATTTAATATACAGAATTGTTAACAGGTATTGGGGAACAGACTAGGCCAAATGGGAACACTGAAGATACTGTGGAAATGGAAGAAAGCAGCTATGACTGCTAGAGGTGGGGAAACAAAGAGAAGAGTTTGAAAATTAACTCTTACAAGCTTGAAGGAGAAGTCTTTAGGGCTGGGACTCAGAGACTTCTGAGGAAGTCTGCTCAGCAGTTAGTCGGCTAGAAGTGTTTGGAGGAGGGGCCACAGAGCTGGACTGAGACCCCTGAGGAAGGGACATGAGCTAGCAGGGGTTGGTCTCTCTGGAGAGGTGTAGTGGAGCTGGTTCTAGGCGTGTAGGGGAAAATTGCAAATTAGAGTCAACTTGGCTAATGGATGGCACTGTACTCAAGGTGAAGATCCTTTGCTAGAGTGATGGGAGAGGAATGAGAAACAGATAAGGAGGAGTCAGGCCTTTCTGCTTCCTTCAAACTTCCAGGCTCTGTCCAATACTGCCTATTGAGAGGGCCTAGCAGGGGTCTACCTGGCAAAAGAGTAGTGGGCTTTCAGATCCTGGCCTCAGCATCATAAAGGTGAACAGAGAAGAATGGGTTTGAGGCTAAGGGACAGTAGCTAACAACCAACACATATCTGAGATTTTAGTGTTTTCTTCTTTTGTTTTTTTTAGGAATTGTCTTTACTTTCAAATAAGTGATTTAAAACTTAAAATGGTATTTTTAAAAAGTTATCTCTGACAAATATAACATTCATTTTATTAGTCATCATCATTCCACATAGAAATTAAACCCTCATTTATTAAAACAAAATATATCCACTTATTAAGAGCTATTATTCTTTAAGAAAGTAAATATATCTAGGGAGTTGCTACTTCATTATAAGGTTTGGGAGAGACATTTTTCCCAGAGGGATATGATCAGAATTTTGATTGTATAATAAAAATGTGTAGATTTCTCACCCTCGCCGGTGTTGCTCATCGAAGGGTGTTGGCTTTTTCCCCCCCTTCAAAGGCACACACTTCATACCTCAGTTGGAAGTTCACTCCCCACCCCATGTAGGGGTGCATATGGGAGGCAACCAGTCGTGTCTCACTCACCTCTCTCTCTTTCTCTCTCTCTTTCTTTTTCCCACTCCCTCCCTTCTACTCTCTCTGAAAAGCAATAGAAAAAAATATCCTTGGGTGAGGATTAACATAATATATACATACATACTTACATAAATAAATAAATAAGCATATTTATCAAAAATTGATAAATCTCAGCACTCAGAACACATAAAAATGAAGTTTAAAAAGGAAATGACTCTGCCATAGAGGGCTCCTGTGTACAAATTCATGTCTCTGGGCATAAGTATATATATAGCAAAAGCTGGTAAAACATTCCTTCAACAATGTAAAGAAGAGCATCAATAAAAACTTACTGAGAGGTTACCACAATAAGCACTATTCTAAGTGCTTAGCACAGTTTAACACATTTAATCCTCATAATGACTCTAGAAAGCATCTTTATTTTACAGACTAACTTGCCAGGGTCACACAGCTAATTAGTGGCATAGCCAGGATTTCGACCCTACAATCTGGTTCCAGGACCCACACAGCTAGCTTCTATTCTATCAGTCCTCAACAAAATATTCTCATGGAAATTTATATGTTTCTATAAAATTCCTAAATCTAAAGCTGTCAAATGTCTTCTTTTAAAGAATAATTATAAGAATAAAGAAAACTTGCCAAGGAACAACAAAGCCAGAGCGAACCATTTATGAAAAAGAAACATAGTCCACATCTTTCTCAGCCAAGCTACCAACCTACTGGAGTTGTGGGCCCCGAACTTTGTGGTGAGTTCTGTGCAGTGGACTGTGCTGCCATTCGGTTCCTATAGTAACTCAGGGCACAGGAACATATAGTGCGGGCCTAAAGTGTAGGTAGAGATACCCAAAAGTCACATCATGATATAGAGATAACGAACTTACATAAAACAAGAAACTTATAATTATCTCAAAAAATGATCCCATTTGTATGAAACTCAAGAACAAGCAAACCTAATCTATACCAATATGCATCATTGCTTTCGGGGACCTGGGTTTATTAACTGACAAGAAGTACATGGGAAATTTTGAAGTGTTGTAATTGTTCCATATCTTGAGTATCATGGTGGTTCTGTCATTTGTCAAAACTCATGGAACTATAGCCCAGCTAGCATAGCTCAGTGGTTGAGCATCAACCTATGAACCAGGAGGTCACACGGTTCCATTCCTGGTGGGGCACGCAGGAGACAATCAATGATTCCTTCTCATTATTGATATTTCTGTCTCTCTCTCCCTTTCCCTTCCTCTTTGAGATCAATAAAAATATATTTTAGCCGAAACCGGTTTGACTCAGTGGATAGAGCGTCATCCTGCGGACTGAAAGGTCCCAGGTTCGATTCCGGTCAAGGGCATGTACATTGGTTGGTTGCGGGCACATCCATGGTGTGAGGTGTGCAGGAGGCAGCTGGTCGATGTCTCTCTCTCTCATCAATGTTTCTCGCTCTCTATCTCTCTTCTCTCCCTTCCTCTCTATAAAAAGTAAATAAAATATATTTTTAAAAAATAAAAATAAAAAAACATATATTTTTTAAAACACTCATGGAACTATATACTTAGGATATATACATTTTGCTATATGTAAATTATTTTCAATAAAGTTGATAAGAAAAACATTACTACATCCTATTTCTAGAGAAAGAAGTTTAGTTTATTCAACATATCCTTATTGAGTGCCTACTATATCCCAGCTCTCTCCTCTAAGTTTTATATCAATAGTGAACAAAACAGATAAAGATCCCTGCCTTCATGTAGCTTACATTCTAGCAGGGGGGAAGGGGAATAAACAACAATTAGGGAAAAAATAAGGAAATTATATAGGTCTAGTCACCTCATATCCCACAGAGGAAGAGACACTCCCCTCCCGTGATGAGTAAACACGGTGGGCATAGACATAGGCTAGGGACTGTGCCTGGCACACCTGTTAGCAAAGAGGAGTGCATGTTTACTAAAAAATTTATCAAGAATCTAGCAGAGCATCCCAAATCAATAACCATGTGCCCAGAATTCAAGAAAACGGCCCCACAAAGAATTGCTGAAGGACCTGATGGTGATAGAGCCAAAGGCAACTGTCAAAGAGAGAGAGGGAAAAAATACATCTACTCAATATCTTTAAAGTAATATTGATGGCACAGTACCAAAGATATAAAGAGCAAGCTATTATGAAAAAAATAGACTTTTTTAGACAACCAAAACATTTTTTTTTTTAAATCTACAGGGGGGGGGAAAAAATCCCAATTGCACTATCTACAACAAAAACACCAATTCAACTGAGCTAGTCACATACCTAAAACACTTATATTCTAAATATGTTTGGAAAAGCTCATATGATGGCAATAAAAGACAATATAAAGACAACTAATACAATTAAATAATAGGCACAGAATATGAACAGACATTTCCCCGAAGGAGAAATTCAAATGACCAATAGGCACATGAAAGATGCTAGATATTAATCATCAGGAAATTGCAAATCAAAACTAAAGCAGATAGCTGATCACACCACTAGAATGGCTGTGAAGATAGACAAGTGGTAGAGAGGATGTGAGGAAGTCGGAACCCACACACATGGCTGATGGGAATTGGAGTGGGAAGACAATCTGGCGGTTCCTTAGAATGATGAACATAGTTACCGCGTAACAGCAATTCCACTCGTAGGTGTCTACATACCGAAGAGAAGTGAAAACAACTATCAACACAAAAACTAAGGAGCAGATAGTTGCAGCAGCATGGAAAGGATTCTAAAGTAAATCATCCACCATCAAGAACTGAAATATCATTGCTGACAGATACACATAAGGAACTGTTTGACATTGAAATTGGATCTCAAAAGAACTGTTGACCCAGAAAGAAACTCACTGCAGACTGATTTATTTGCCTTTCAGCATAGCCATTATTGTCTGTCTCATTTCCGGTTCTTATAAGTGTATTTCCACTAGGACATGATCTCACTCATCTACGGGAAATGATGAACAACATAGACTGATGAACAAGAACAGACCCAGAGACAAGGAGGCATGGATCAGTCTGTTGGACCTCAGGGGGAAGGTGGGGATAAAAGGGAGAGATCAACCAAAGGACTTGTGTGCATACATATGAGCCTAACCAGTGGGCAAGGACAACAGCGGGATGGGGGCAGGAGTGAGGAGGGGTGAGGGATGGGAATGGAGGGATGAGAACAAATATGTGATACCTTAATCAATAAAGAAATTTAAAAAAATAAAGTAAATCAAGTGACTCAGATACATAAAATATGGAGTATTCATGCAATGGAATATCCTTTGGAACTAAGATAAATAAAGTGCCGATTTATGGTGCAAAACCAATAAACCTCGAGGACATTACCAGTCTTCACAAAGACCATACATAGTGTTATATCATTTATATGAAATGTACAGTAAAGCCAATTCATAGAAAGTCAACTCATAAAATGTCTGCTACATGGAAAGTGCCAGCTCATATAACTTTTCTTTTGAGGGTGATAAAAACTTTCTATGAGGATAGTGATATAATTCTGTAAATACAGTAAATGTAATTAAATTTTATACTTTAAACAGGTGAAGTTTATATCTCAAAGCGGTTTTGAAAGCTAAAAATATATATCCTTCTTTAATGACAATTTTATTCAAAAGCAATAGATCTTGAGCAAATAAACATGAAAAATGAACAAAATTACAGACCTTTCAGAGATTAAGCTGATTACAAAACTTTACAAAGTATGTGTTGAAAAATATTTTTTTGAATTAGATACAAATTGCTTTCAGAAGGGGTAGGGGATCCCACACTTCCACCAAGCAATCCTCATAATACTAGCTGCTTGTCCAGGAATTCAACTCAGTTCTTACATTATCCACCCAGTGATGGCACCAGGCACAGCAGGTCAATGGCTCAGCCCCGGGAACTGCATATACACCCTACTCCCACTTCACAGGTCAGTCTCAATCCCAGGCTTTCACCTGTACTTCTTCCCCCACCCCCACCCCCCCGCCCCCACCCCAGCCTTTGTTGTTGAAAGTATTATATATGTTCCAGTCTTCTCCTACTCCCAGCATTGATCCCTTCTAGTCTAGCCCTCCCCTCCCCCAGCCCCAGGACTTTACCACCCTATTGTCTGTGTCTATGGGTTATGCATATATGCATACAAGTTCTTTGGTTATTCTCTTCCCACCCATCCATCGACCAACCCTCCCCTACCTTCCCTCTGAGATTCCACATTCTATTCTATGTTTTTATGTCTCTGGAGCTATTTTGTTCATTAGATTCCACATATGAGTGAGATTGTTGTGGGGTCGAACCCTGGATTCAGAATAAGACCTCTGGAGGCTGATGATTGATTAAAAAAGCAGGCAAAGATTTATTGAAATAAATACTGGCCAGGACAGTCGCAAGAGCACCACACGCAGGTGGACTCCACATGACTGCACAGCTTCAGGAGTAGGCAGTCCCTTTTAAAGGTTCAAACCACAGGAATTTTCCTTTGTTCTATATCCTAAAGATTACATGCTAAAGACTGGGGTCAGCCCGCAGGGTCTCGGCTAGTCACATCCTGCTGGACATTGGAATGTGGCCCTATCTTGTGATAACCGATAACACAGAATCAGAGCTCAGAGGTTATCTACAGTTTCTATCTCTGAAGATTACTGAGTCAGTGGGAATTAATCTCCTGTGGTCCCGGTACCAGGCAAGAGAAAATTGCCTTAGCCTCCAGGTCTCCACCTGAAAGCTAAGGTAAATAACCCGCCCCCCATGTGTTTAATCAGGTGTAGGAGCCAAACTAGAAGGGTTAAAATTCAAACAGCAGTTTTTACCAAAGTATGGTTGCCACTATATTTCATTCACCACTGGTTTTATGTGCAAATCATTGATTTATCCTACTTCCTTTAACCTGTTAACTGAGCGGGACCTATAAATACGTCAAATGTAAACAATATTGGGAACGGGTAGGACATATGAATGTCTCCTTCATCAGCAATGCTGTGGTGGCCACTGCCCAGAGGCACACTGGCCACCCTGCTGCCACAGGGTCTAGCCTCTTAGACAGATAGGCAACAGGCCTCTTCCAGGGAGCTAGAGTCTGAGTGAGAACCCCTTTGGCAATACCCGTTACCTCACTCACATAGAGGTGGAAGGGCTTTGTGACATCTGGCAAGGCTAGGGCAGGTGCTGAGATGAGAGCCTTCTTTAGCTCCTCAAAGGCCCATTTTTCCACTTTGGTCCAGTTCAGCAACTGCGTTCCCCCAGTACGTGTTCCTTCCCAGGTCCACAGTTCTTCTTGATGTCCAAGGAAAATAGGCAGTTTATCTGGTGGCTCCCTGGACTGATACTTTCTTAGAGGTCCTATCGGCTCTGTCAGGACTGAATAGACTGCCCCAGTGTAACAGGTTTGCCCTCCACTTGTAAGGTTACCCTTGGGGCTTAATGGAAAGGAGCCCCAGTCCTGTCAGTCCTCCCCCTTCAAGTTAAAGATCCTTGGAGTCTAAGTTTTTTGTTGTTGTTTTTTTGTTTTTTTTCTCTCTAGCTAACCTGCCAGGACATTCTATCTTTCGGTGCCTTTGTTTCTTACAATAGGCATACTACCCTGTTTCCCTGAAAATAAGACAGTGTCTTATATTAATTTTTGCTCCCAAAGATGCGCTAGGTCTTATTTTCAGGGGATGTCTTATTTTTCCATGAAGAAGAATATGGTACACATTTATTGTTAAATGAAAATAAAGGAAATTTATTACCTGTATACGGTATGGTAGTACGGTAGT